AGATAGATAGATAGATAGATAGATAGATAGATAGATAGATAGATAGATAGATAGATAGATAATAGATATAGAAACAAATAGATATATAATATAGATAGATACAGTAGATAGATATATAATAGATAACTAGATAGTTACGTAGATAAGATAGACAGACAGAGATAGATACTAATAGAGATAGAGATATATAATATACAGTAGATACAGTATAGAGATAGATAGATAGATGGATATAGACGATATACAGTAAATGGACAGACAGACAGACATATAATAGATACAGCAAGATAAATAAATAGATACAGTAGATAGATAGATAATAGATACAGTAGATAGATATATAATAGATAACAGTAGATAGATACAGTAGATAGAGGTAGGTAGGTAGAGTAGATAGATGACAGATAGACACACAGACACACAGAGAGAGAATAGTATAGACTGGAAAGGAGAAAGGAGTGAGTGCAAGGCAATGTTCACCTCCATGAGGTAGCAGTACAGGAACGGTCCCTGGTTGATGACAAGGTTGGTGCAGATGCAGCTGGCCACAGTCTGCTGGATGGCGCACAGCTGTTTTTTGGCCAGCTCCAGTCCTTGAAGCAACTGGTCCAGATTACCCCTGGAAGGAGAAGCAAAACGAAGACATGGCTTTTACCCAGAAGGAAAGTCATTCGTATGATTCTTAGGAAATGTTTCCTCACTATCACCCTTAACGCAAAGGTTCCTCAGCGGGCCCAATACTGGTAACTTGTTAACTGGACAGTATCTACAATACTAGGTTCAAACCCAACATTTCTGGAGCAATTAGGAAGAAAACATCCGAAATTTTGCAGAAGCTGGTCAGCAGAGAACAGGGACTGTGATTTGAATCTGAGTGAAATAGTTTCCGATATTCGATAAAAGGCATCATTACCAGAAATTAGCAGTACAGGTAGTCCTGGACTTACGACCTCGACTGAACTCAAAACTTCTGTTGCCAGGTGAGTCATTGGTTAAGTGAAGAGTTTTGCCCCATTTTATGACCTTTCTCGACACAGTTGATAAGTGAATCACATCACTTGTTTAGCCCATCCCTCTTAGATCATCCCGTGACCTTATCCAGGTTTGTTCATATTGCTTAGATCGCATTTGCAACGTCTAGCCATCATCAGCACATTTGTCCCTCATTCCCAGTAACAAGTAGCACAATATGCCATACAGTAATTAATACTAATATATATATATATATATTTTAGCACTTTGGTATGTTCCTTGTTCTTGTAAACCTCAACTTTCATGTGCAGAGTTGCCTTGTTCCACCCCGAGCAAGCCTGTTGTGAAGATTTTGTTAGCTAAGGCCTTCCACACATTAGCAAATGTCTGCAAATAATAATTTTCTATAGAGACTACAATTTTAGAGTGGGCTCTTTTGCCCTTTCCTTCAGTGGCAACTTGAAGATCTGTGAACTTTTAAGAATTCAGGCTTGCCTGGCTGGGGAATTCAGGGGGTTCTTCAAGTTTGCCAGGGTTGAGAACTATTGCTCTATAGCAACATTGGCTTGCTAACCTGGCTTCTTCCACATACGCTAGGATTACAAGAGGGGAAAATGTACGTTACCTGGAAAGGCTATCCAAAGCCTTGATAAAATTATCGGTTCTGTTCTCCTCCTTGTCCATGTTCTCCATCAACGCCGCCGTGGCATACACGACGTCACTGGCTAAAAACTTGTTTTTAAAACCAAAATGGACACTGAAGGTTTGCACTCTCAGATCCTTCATCCTGGAAAACAAAGGGGAGGCATTAGAGATGTTCAAACAACTTCATGCGACACTGTGGCGTTATTTATGTCTTTTAACTTATACAGTTTTTTTATCTTTTATGATTGTAAGCCGCCCAGAGTTACCCTGAAGAGACCTATATAAATTTTACCAATAAATACATAGAGGAGAAAATCAGTTCAGAGTTCTGTATCATTAGAAAGAAAAGTATCTTACCCAAACTTATTTGCGGATTCTTCAATGATTTCCCGAAGGTTCTCTTTCAAGGACATGTCCATGGAATGAAATTTCTGTTTGACTTGCTTTAAAGGCAACCTTAAAAAAAACAAAATAAGGAATTAAGTCCATGGGAATGATGGCAGGAACACTTCCCAAAAGGTTCATCTGACACACTGAACTAAGACACCGCCAATCTCTTCCTGCTGATCCGCTAAGTACAGCCGGTCCTCAACTTACAACAGTTCATTTAGTAACCGTTCAAAGTTACGACAATGAAAAAAAAAAGACTTATGACCATTTTTCACACTTACAATTGCAGCATCCTTTTGGTCGCAGGATCAACATTCAAATGCTTGGCAACTGACTCATATCTACGACAGTTGCAGTGTCCCAGGGTCATGTAATCACCTTCTGACAAGCAACGTCATTGGGGAAGCCAGATTCACTTAACAACCGGGTTACCAACTGCAGCGATTCAGTTAACAACGGGGGCAAGAAAGGTCGTAAAATGGGGCAAAACTCACTTAACCAATGTCTCACTTCGGAACACAAAGTTTGGGCTCAATTCTGGTCAAGGACCACCTGTATTGCTAGTTTCTAAGAACAATGCCTTTTATTGAATATTGGAAACTACTTTACTTTGTCCCTGTATTTTCTGCTGACCAATGATAGGAATTTTGGAAAATTTGGGATGTTTTCTTCCTAACTGCTACAGAAATGTTGGATTTGAAACCTAGAATCTTCTACATGCAGAGGTTGTGAAAGAACAGAGGCTCTGAATAACCAAGTGATACCAAGCTGACTTTGCTTTTAACTCTGGTACGTGGGTCTTGGCAACAAACTTGGCAACTTTAAGACTTGTGAACTTCAACTCCCAACTATGAGGAGTTGAAGTCCACAAGGTCTTAAAGTTGCTGAGGAGACCCCTACTCCAGTATTACAAACCCATGCTCATCATTCCTTCAGCATTTCCATCCATGGCCATTGAGAGATTTCCTGATCATCATGATTTGGATTTTTTTTTCCTTTTCAATACCCAGCTCTCCCGATTAACTCACCCCATGTCAGCCAAGAATTCTTGCAACCTCTTCTGGCCTTGAACAGACCAAAGCTTGAAGCTGGCAGATGTGTAGCAAGTATTGCAGAGACTTTCGTACAGAGACCAATGCTGATAAAGTGCGAGGCACAAGCTAAGGCCATCGAGAATTAAGGGTGAATAATTGTGATTGGGATCAGAGTGGTGGGGTGGCCTAGAGGTGGAGCTCTTGCCTCACAATCAGGAGGCTGCAAGTTCGATCCTAGGTAGAGGCAGATATTCCTTTCTTTGGGCACACTGAGAATTTATCTGAACAAAACTCTGTACTGGCGACAGGAAGGGTATCTGGCCATTAAACTCTCTGTTAGCTCCATTCAGTTGCCAGAACTCCACCCTGCAAGGGATTATGGGGTCGTAAAAGATGATGGATTGGGATTATTGGGATTATTTCCCCTCTTCTGTTATTTTCTTCCCCATAAATGCAACTAGGTTGGCTTATGCAGATTAAACAAGGCTTAATACTTCTAGAAAATATTGACATCCTGTTATTGGAGTTTAGAATTCTTATTAGGCTTGTGAACAAATCTTAGGCCTTTCCCCCCAGTATTTCTGATGTGGAAATTAAAGCAGAAACGCACAGGCCTTTTGGAAAGCATTGGAACATTTTTCCAGCCTCCCTTTAAAATATTCTGAACCACAATCCGTTTTTGCTCATAATTTGCTGCTATACAGTACGATTATTGATGCACTAATTTGCGCTTTCTCTCTGTCTCATTTTTTTTGTGAATGCAGAAGCACCAAGCACTGTTATCTTGGTTTCCTAGGCCACAATTAGTAACAATGTTGGAGCCATGGGACTCTCAGTCAAATACTGCTTAAAAACTAGGACTAGATTTTGAAACTGGAACGACAGAGAAAAGGTGGATAGAAAGACAGACAAGCCACAAGCTCACATGCTCAAAAGCTACAAGGGTTGTGGGTGGGAGGAGTGGCCCCCATCACGAGTGATCCGGGCCAATGATTTCACAGTGAAAATTCAATTTGTGTCAAGTGGCAGCTGAAGTCCTAAACAATTTGCACCAGCCTTTGGAAGGATACTCATACTCAAAGGCGATTCTCATGCAGTCGATAGAAAGGGAGTTCTCTTCATCCCCGTTGCGATGATTATGCCGAGTGACGTGACGCTGGAGAGTCCCGACGTCCGTCACATACTTCATTCTTCCATTCAAGAAAAAGAAAGGCAACATATTATTGATGGATGGTAGTAGCTCCCTCACCTCTTTTTCTACCTCGAAGCTCAGGAAATGAAAATGTTTTTCTGGGGAAAGGTTAAGGAAAGAGTTTGTTTTGGAACGATTTCGGTTCCATATGGAACAAATTTTTGGCTCAAGAAACACCATGAAAATCACTGGGAGAGCAAATGATTTAAAGAAGGCGTTAACTTACTGAGTGATTCTGTCTTGGATCCACTGATCTGTTAGTCCAACAACAGCCCACCTTACAAAAAAGAAAAAGAATCGAGGCTTGCACACATTCCTTTTTTCCTGCACAGGAAGTCCTTGACTCACAACAGCTCATTTAGTGACTGTTCAAAGTTACAACGGCACTGAAAAAAAGGGACTTAGGACTGTTTTTCAGTTAAGACCTTTGCAGCATTTCCAAGATCACGTGATCGAAATTCGGATGCTTGGCAAGTGGTCCATATTTATGATCATTGCTGTGTCCCAAGGCCACGTGATCAACACACACATACACACACACACACAAAGGAAGTGATTACATGACCTTGTTGTGGTTAGCCAACAGCAGGTGTGGACGGCTGAGGAGAGCGAGGACACAGATGAGGGGCCAGGACCATTAGGGAGTGGACTGCTGCCTTCAGAGATTGTGGGGGCTGGCAGCAGCGATGAGGAGTTTCCTGAGGAGCCTGTGCCAAATGCCCAGGAAAGAGCAGCTGCAGCAGCACGGGCGACTCGGGAGTAAGGCTGCAAGGTAATGGCCCCTCCTTCAAGAAGATAAAAGCCAGCTGTGAATCGGACCTTCTTTGCAGGAAGCAAAGATGTTCTGAAACTCGAGCCTTGTGGACATTGCAGTATCTTAGTTGGTATTTGAAGATTTTTGTGTCGTAAAATATTTCTTATCTGTGATTCTTGGCAGCCTCGCACAGTTTTGGCGAGGCTTGTGCTTATCAAAGTTAATTAGTTTGCAGCAGCCTTTTAACCGGGGATTCGTAAGAAACATTAAAAGGTTTCTGTTCCCTTTGGTTCATGTTTGTTTTATTGGAAAAGACTTTGGGACACAGCAATGTTCTGTACTCAAGGAATATAAATCCTTCCATTTCCCACCATCCATCCAGTCAGAGCTGAAAAAGCTTCTTGGATGAGAAGCAAAACGTCTTCAAAGAAAAAAAAAATAAAAAACAGAAAATCCAGTTGTGTCTTGAAAAAAGCACCTTTGGAACAATTAGCAATATCACAGACAAGACTACCTACCACAGCATGTCGTTCAAGTCTTTGGACATTATCCACGCCAAATCAAACATCATCATGGCAGACTGTAAAAGGGGAAATGATGAAACAATCAGAGTAAAGAGAAAACGTGTGGCACCATCAAGAAAGCAAACCTTTTCAGGGAGACCTTCCACAGCCAGAAAGTAAATTCTGTACCATACATCATCCGAGTCTCACCTTTTCCCATAATAATAATAGAACCTGAACCAACAGGTTAAAATTTTTAACTTAAAAGCTGGCGGGGTTTTGGATTATAGGTAGTCCTCAACTTACAACCACAACTGAGCTCAACATTTATGATTCTAAGTGAGATGGTTGTTGTGAGTTTTGCCTATTTTATGACTTTTCTTCACAGTTTTTAAGTGGATCACTGCAGTGGTTAAGTTATGGTTATGGGCCTCAATGGCACAGTGGTTAGAGTGCGGTACTGCAGGCTATTTCTGCTGACTATCGGCTGCCTGCAATTTGGCAGTTCAAATTCCACTAGGCTTAAGGTGGACTCAGTCTTCGATCCTTTTGAGGTGGGTAAAATGAGGACCCAGATTGTTGGGGGCAAGAGGCTAGCTCTGTAAACTGCTTAGAGAGGGCTTGAAAGCACTGTGAAGTGATATGTAAATCTAAGTGGTAGAGCTATTGTTCTTCCTTTTCACCCACCTTCCTTCCTCTTTCCTTCCTTTCTTCCTTGGTGCACAGTGGTTAGAATGCAGGATTGCAGGCTAACTCTGCCCACTGCCAGCAGTTTGATCCTGACTGGTTCAAGGTGGACTCAGCCTGCCCTCCTTCCAAGGTGGGTAAAATGAGGACCCAGATTGTTGGGGGCAAGAGGCTGGCTCTGTAAACCGCTTAGGAAGGGCTGTAAATCACTGAAAAGCAGTATATGAGTCTAAGTGCTATTGCTATGGGAATGCTGCAATGGTCGTAAATGTGCACTGAAAATGGTTTTCAGTGCCATTGTAACTTCGAGGTGTCACTAAATGAACTGTTGTAAGTTGAGGACCACCTGCATAGGAACTGTTCAAAAAACAGGTGGATTTCCACAGGTATAAACCTTTCAGTTAGTTTTCTAGAAATTAAGAAACCTTATCATGCAATAACCGCTTTACTTAAAAAAAGTAATAAACCGTACTGTGAAGATGAGATTCGATACATACCGATGTCCCGTGATATTCATACTGTTCGTAGTCAAAAAGAATTTCTTGCCTAATTAAAAAAAAAAAGGGGGGGGTGGGGGAGAAATCAGTAAGATTTTTTTCCTGCTATGGTCATAAATAGAAATATCCAGTAAGCAGATAGCTTGGGTCACATACCTGCATGCTTCCCACTCTCTTCTTTCACGTCTTTTCATTGTTCTTTCTACCACTTCCTATGGAGAGATTACGATAAACAATGATCAATGTAGGGAAAACACCCTAAAAATAAATATATTCAATGTTGGCAACAATGTTAATGTTTGACAATGAAACAATTTTAACTTAAAAAAAACACACATTCCTTAAAAGATAAGGATTACAACTTGAGTTAGTTTCAAATGATACAAGATATCCATGAACCAAAACAAAGGAGAAAATATCTTTAAAAATCACTTTTACTCCTTGAAAGAGACTCGTATACTTTGTTGCGTCTTCTTTTTCTTAGTACAGTCACTGTTAAATTACCTTAATCTATTTATAAATATGACTTTCCTTTAAAATGCCATTTTATTTTAACTTGCTCAAATCTGACCTCTTCAAATCGTCTACGTTTTCCTGCTGGTTCTGATCCATCGCTTTCATTTCCAGAATCCTCCTCTTCTTCCTCCCTGAAAATATCATCATAGGCAGGAATCTCGAGGTCATCATCTTGCTTGACCAGAAGTTTGATCTGGTAAAATTTAAATAAAACCACTGTAAAACCCAGTAACAATCTTGGTGAAAGACAAGAATTTATCTTTCTTTTTTTTGTCAAAAAGGAGAACTTACTTGCGTCTCATTGTAAACGTTCACTACATTGATAGGTCTATGAGTATCACAAACAAAGAACAGAGTATCGTCGTCGGGTTGAAGGATTTCCAGCAGGTCAATGTTGGCTCCACAGTTTAGGAGCACAAAATACTTGAACTGTAAATAAAAGCAAATAGGTAGTGGAAAAAAATCTGCGTGAAAGGATGTGCAATTTATATCGAGAATAGTTAAATTCTTGGGACAAGATACCAACAATTATACTTCCAAGAAATTTTTTAAATTGCCATTATAAAAAAATTAGAATTTTAAAAAGATCTTATTCAAGTTCCATTCCCCATAATAGGATTTTCTAAACAAAATGTACAATAGATGCGAGAGAATTGTATTTTATTCCCCTTGTTTTTTATACAGTATATCTATATCCCATTTATTATTTTTTCTTTACCTGATCCTTATGTTCTAGAAATGCTGTTTCCAGTTCTTGCCATCCAGATACTGGGACTAATGTATATTGCACATGATCACACTGGAATAAAGCCTGGAGAAAAATGAAGGCTAAACTTAAGAGCAAGGATAATATTGTAGCTTCACTTTAGCTGAGCATAGCAACAGCAGCTTCCAAGCAAGTTTTTTGTACATTTATCAATTATATTTAAAAACAAATAAGCTAGAACCGTGGAGCTTTGTTAATCGCTCATGTTGTTTAACACTTTGCTAATTTTGCATTTTTACTATATTTAACAAATGATTTACAGGCTGGAAGTTGGCATTTTATCGTGGAAATCATAATAATCATCAAAATCACGCAAGGATGATTTTCTTTTCTCATTCTTTAAAGTTGTTCCACCAACATAATTTTACTGATTTATATTTATAAAATTTACCATCCTACTCATATCCAACCACTTTAGGTTGCACATTTGTATACTAATTCATTTATCATTACAAAAGCATCCTCCAAACACTTTCTATAGGAAAGATCTGGGATGTATTTGGAGATAATTGTAACTGAAAATCATGCATTTTTTTAGAAAACAAGACAAACTTCCTCAATTATCTCACCCCCAAGCCATTGTCCACAATTGCTTTGCAAGAAAGATAGTAATAGTATATTCATTTATGTGGAAATATTCATTGCTCGCTTATTTACAGTTCTTTTCCCCCATTGCACAATATTTTGTCACTTGTACACTCAAAAAACTTGAAGGGCAGACTTACTTGGAGGATTTTACAAGCACATAATGCATCTATGTCCGAAGCCACCAGAAGCAGCACCCGCTGTAAGCAAATATAGATGTTAGTTAGCAACGACAGGGAGTCCTCAATCTATGACCACAACTGAGTCCATTATGTTGTTAAGGGGGAAATTTGTTAAGTGAGTTTTGCCTCATTTTACAACTTTTTTTTGCCACATTTCTTGAGTGAACCCCTGCAATAGTTACATTAGTTAACACGGTTAAGTGAATCTGGCTTCCCCATTGACTTTGCTTGTCAGAAGGTTGCAAAAGGGGATCATGTGATCCCAGGACACCGCCACCGTCATAAATGTGAGTCAGTTGTCAAGCATTTGAATGTCAATCACGTGACCAATTGGGATGCTGGCAAGGTTCATAAGTCACGTTTTTTCAGTGCCGTTGTAACTTCAAATGGTCACTAAGTGGACTGTTGTAAGACAAGGATTACCTGCACCAGGTTGGTTTATCTGCCTTTCCTAGTTAGGAGCAGCAGATCCCTTAATCCCAATCTAGTCAATCTTAATCCAATCTAGTCAATTTCATCTTCTTCTCCATAGTTTCAAGGGCTTTGCTTATATGTCCACAAAGCCAGTTCTGAAAAGTTTTCTCCCATTTCAGAGCTTTGGCTCATTGGTTCTCACTGGCCACTCTCTAAGCCCAAGGCACTACAATGTCTATCCTCCCCAGCCACCAGTCCCTAAAACACACACACACACACACACACACACACACACACACACACCAACCCCAGCTCCACCACCCTGGCAGTGGAAGGCCTGTCCAACAGTCCCACAGACGCAAAGCCTTTTACAGGGTGGAATACAATACCCATCCTCCCCAGCCCTGAAAACCCTGAAGGGGAACCCTCCCCCAGGCCCAGCTCCAGGGCCTCAGCACTTGTGCCCTGTCACAACAGCCCCACCAGAGCAGCCCCAAGCTTGTTCATGGTGGACTACAAGACCCATCCTCCCCAGCCACCAGTCATTTTTTATCCCCCCCCCCTTTCCATCCCCAAACCAATCCCTGGTCTCTGTCCACCTCCATCTGCCTCACCCCGACCCTGTAAACCCAGCCTGTGGGTGCAAAGCTGGACTACAATACCCATCCTCCCCAACCAGGATTCTGGCTCGTCCTCTTTCAGCATTGAAAGGGGAAACCCATAGAATCTACCCAGGCCCAACTTCCCTCCTTTAACCCCCACCCCACCCCGTCCCGTCCCCAGCAGTGTTAAACTTGCACAACAGCCCGATCGGGTAGACCCATTTTGGGGGGGGGGGCGAAGCTTCTCAACGCTGCGGACTACAAACCCCATGCTCCTCAGCCGTCGCCCTCAAGCCTCCTCCTCCTCCTGACCCCCAGAGGCTCCAGCCCCCCCTCACCTGGCCCACGACCACCTCGTAAAACTCCTTCCGAAAGTCTGTCAGGAACATGACCGGCCGGGAAAAGCCACAATGGCGGCGGAGCGCGAGAAGAAAGACCCACTTCAAAGGAAGGCGCCAAACGCAACGCCTTTCCTCATTGGCCGGAGCGCTCCGGAAGCCGACCAATCGGAGATCGAGGGTATCACCCTTGTCGTTCGGGATGGGCGGGGTTTCACCCTCAGTCCCGCCCTCTTCTTTCCCCCCGCCCGTCTCAAAGCTGCGGAGAGAACAAGAAAGGAGGGGGATGCGGTCTGTATAGTTTCTGAGAGAGACTTCCGGCTCCCAAGCAGCATCATTCCATATGTGCGGGGCGAGGAGGGTGGAAATAGTACCGTAGGTGCTTATAGATAATCGCAGAGGGGGAAACCATTCCTTTCCTTGAAATAATTAAATGAGAATACATAGAAAGAAACAGATCTCGTTTTTTAAATTTTGTTTTGTTTTCATTTTATCACTTTTATTAGGTTAAAACTTCTACCCTTAACAAATAAATAAGTAAACAAGGCTTCTGTTTCTGTTTCTACACTTTTATGCATTCTATAGTGCTCAACGTTATTTATATGCTGTGCAGTATAATGTACAGGCAGCCCTCCACTTACTGCCACAATTGAGCCCAAAATTTATGTTGTTAAGTGAGACATGTGTTAAGTGAGTTTTGCCCTGTTTTACACCTTTCTTGCCTCAGTTGTTAAGTGAAAAGCTGCAGCTGATAAATTAGTCACCCGGTTGTTAAGCGAACCTGGCTTCCCCCTTGACTCTGCTTGTCAGAGGGTTGCCAAAAGGGGATCAGGGGACACCATAACCATCATAAATATGAATCAGCTGTCAGGCATCTGAATTTTGATCAGGTGAAAATGGAGATGATGAAGTTGTCGTGTGAAGAATCAGAGTTTGCAGCACCGTTGTAACTTTGAACGGTCACTAAACGAGCTGTTGTAAGTCGAGGACTATCTGTATAAAGAAGTTTCTGATGCGTTGCCTCCTTTCATTTATCAATTTTCCCCATCCATTTTCCTAGCGCCTAAACAGTACCGGTAGTAGTACCGGCAACGCAAGCCTTCCTAACTCTTGGGCCAGGAGGATCGCCTACTATTTTTTTTTGCCCTTTCAAGAAGGAAAACAAAAACACAGGCCAGCGTAGCAAGGGCAAACTGGTTCCCGCCATCTTTGATGAGGGCATTCCCTTGCTTATAACGTCCCCCGCTCTCTGTCTGAGTTGATAAACCTCTAAAAACAACCTAAAAATGAGGAAAGCCATAAGGGCGCTCCTGTATTTCAGAATATCTTAAAGGAGACTCGGCTTCTTTGACTACGAGGGAAAACAGAGGTTAGTTTTTTTTACGGTTCCGCTTGAGTCGTTTGCGCACAGCCGGAAGAAAAATACCGACGGACCGATGGTGCGAACTGCATTCTGGGAGGCGTAGTTCCTCCGCTCCTTTAAAGTAAAGCTTCCTTCTTGCTCTTCCCCGCAGAAGTGATCCATACTCCGAAGAGAGGACGGGGGTTCGATCCCCGTTTGCTCCCCAGAAAGGCCGGAGTTGGGGGGACCCCGCGTGTTTGGCGAGACCTGGGCCTAGGCCGAAGAGCGTCTCCCCATCCGCTGCGAGAGGCTTCCTAGCCGGGCGAAGAAGAAGAGGCTCGGCGGTTGCCGGTTTTTTTGGGGGGGACCCTTGGCCGGCTGGGAGGGGAGGCCGGAGGAGGCATCGCCATCATGGTACGGGCCTTGGGACCCCCCCAACATCCAGAGGGGCGGGGGGGAGGTTCGAAGGAGGACCAGATGTTGGCAGGGAGGGAAAATGCAGACTCATCTGGCCGGGAAGGAGCTTGACTCTCTGAAGCTGACAGGGGGTTGGACTACAAATCCCATGCGGGAGGGGTGGACTGCATATCCCCAGGCAGGCCTCATGGGCTACAGATCCCACCCAGAGCTTGTGGGGGTACGGAATCCCATCCTGGCAGGGTAGGTTTCACACCACATCTGGGTGGGGTGGACTGCAAAACCCATGCAGGCGGGTTGGGCCACATATCCCATCCAAGTGGAAGCCCCAGGTAGGGAGGATGGACTACAAACCCCAGCCAGGGGTTAGGTGGGGGTGGGGTGGGGGGCTACCAAATGCCATTCCGGCAGGATGGACTGCAAATCCCATGCAGGTGGGATGGACTACAAAACCCACCTAGGTACAAAACCCATTGCTGACAGGGTGGGTTACAAACCCCATGCAGGCGAGTTGGGCTACAAAATCCCATCCAAGAGGGATGGACTACAAAACCCCATCCCATCTAAAATCCTTCCAGGAGGGGTGGACTACAAAACCTATGCAGGCGGGGTGGAGTATAAACCTAAGCTAAAGATTGTGGTCTATGAAACTGCATTTAGGCAAGGTGGGTTACAAACCCCATTCAGGAAGAGTGGACTACAAAACCCATGCAGGCAGATTGGGTTACAAACCCTTTTGGGGTGGGCAGGTGATACTACAAAACCTATGCAGGCCAAGTGGACTACAAATCCCCCTAGAGGCAGAATGGATTGCAAACTGACTTGGGCATGGTGGACTACGAAATCCATGCAGGTGGTGTGCACTACAAACCCCATCTTTGGGGTGGGTGGGCTACAGAGCCTTTACAGGTGGAGCAGACTATAACCACATCTGGGACAGAGACAGGATGGGTTTTTTTATTAAGGTTTCAAAGGGAGGAATAAAATGGGTGTTGATCCCAGTTCTGTCCAATTTATTCTGATACAGGAAGTCCTCGACTTACAACAATTCATTTAGTGACCGTTCAAAGTTACAACGGCATTGGAAAATGTATCTAATGACCATCTTTCACAGTTACGACCTTTGCTGCATCCCCATGATCATAGGATCCAAATTCAGGTGTTTGGCAACTGACTCTTATGATGGTTGACAAGCAAAGGCAATGGGGATTCACTTAACAACTGTGGCAAGAAAGGTTGTAAGATGGTGCCAAACTCACTTAACAAAAGTCTCACTTAAAAACAAGAATTTTGGGCTCGAGAACTACCTGCATTTGCTTGCTTGCTTGTTTGTAAAATTTATTGGCCGCCCATCTTATCTCAGGTAAGAGTAACTCTGGGCAGCATACAATTGTAAAAGGTAAAAAAAAAAGATATAAATTAAAAATGTACATTAGTAGAATTGATTATGGCAAATAGATTGTGCTCATCTTAACGCCTCCTGTTTTTCTCTTCTTCTTCCCTCCAGTTTTCTTTCAGCATGTTTGACCATCCCATTCCCCGCGTCTTCCAGAATCGCTTCTCCACCCAATACCGCTGTTTCTCTGTTTCCATGCTCGCTGGCCCTAATGACCGATCCGATGTGGAGAAAGGCGGAAAAAGTATGCGCTGTTTGGCTTTGTTTTCAATTTAATTTAACTTCCCTCTTGGGCAGGTTGAAGAATTAGCATCTGAAATAGCAGTAACTAGCTCAATACCCGTGCTTCGCTACAAAATTATATGATTGGGCTTAGTTTTGGGGGAGGAAAATAAGGGGGGAAAACTGTGCCTCTGCCTACCAGCATCCATTGGCATTCATCTGGCTAGCGTCCTGTCAGTGTTGTGGGAGAATTGGGCTGTTTGGAAACTGAAGCAGTATTTGCTGTGTGAGCAAGGAGAACAGCAAGGAGCCTGGGTGTGGCTTAGCTCAACTGTTCTGTACTAAAGCTGGTTGCTGCTGTGAAACTGAAACTCCTCTCTTCTGCTTGTGTTTTGCATTTGGAAGAGATTTCTTTTCAGGTGGGGAGGGGGAGTAGAACTCCTTAGCATCAGAGCATGTTAATAATAATAATATAGGAACTACTAATGCTCTGATGGTCATTTTGAAAAATCCTTTGTTAGTGAGTACCTAGAAGCCAAGAGGAACATACGTGCCACATTTCAAGTTTGTAGGCTTTGGAGATTTTGTGATGATGCAAGAGTGGTATTTCACACATATATATATATTTGGCCCATAAGTGTAGGAGGAGAGGAGGAGGAAGAGGAGGATAAACCCACTTTTATTCTGGAACCCTCTTTTACAAGAAACTTGCCCGATAAACTTAATAAATATAGCTTAATAAATATCTCCTCTTTGACTTTTCTTAAAAGCACTTTGTTTTCCAAGCCTCTCAAAATCGATTTGTAATGATTTTATACACAGCAGCTAAGGAGAAACTCAGTGCCTCCAATTTAAAAAACAAACAAACCTGGAGACAACATGGCTATTAATCATTAATAACTATATCTTCCCTTTTTTTTAATTTGCTTTTTTTTAAAAAAAATAGACTGGATCAGTTTGTACTCAATACAGCCGCCAAAGCTTGTAAATCTGTTTACAGTCCAGTGTTTGCTAGAAATGTGATTTATGTCTTTCAACATGTTTGGATAACCTGGTCTCGTTCTGGTTAAAAGAGTCATCATTTCTTCTTGGGTGTTGTGTTTCCTGTCCCATACTTGTTTGCCAACTGACTGGGTGGGTCCCTTAGCTGATATCCTGTGGGAACATCCTGTTTTACCTGGTTGCCTCATAGGGAGCCTCATTTTACATCTTGACCTAAACCAGCGGGCTTCAACCATGACAGCTTTAAGACTTGTGGACTTCAACTCCCAGAATTCCTCTTCTAGTCATGTTAGCTCAGGAATTCTGGGAGTTGAAGTCCACACGTCTTAAAGCTGCCATGTTTGGTTGTCTGTTGTCAGAAGTCTAAAGCAGGGGTCTTCAAACATGGCAAACATGTTGTTAAGTGAATCACTGCAGTTGTTAACTTGGTAACAACGATTGTTAAGTGAATCCGGCTCCCTCATTGACTTGGCTTGTCAGATGGTTGCAAAAGGGGATCACGTTGACAACTCTATAAAACATGCATAGAAATGTTTTATGAGTTGACATTCGGCTCCCCTCACTACTTGAAGGTGACCTGTACATCACAAAAAGAAAAACAAATTGAGCGCTGGTATAGAACCTGGGACACTGCGACCGTTATAAATATGAGACATTGCTAAATGTCTGAAT